ATTATTTATTTATAATAAAAAAAAGTTTTAGTTGAAAAAAGTTAAAAGTCATTAGTTTTATTTAATGTGAAATTTGAAATTGCTTTTTTTGTGAAAGTTATGAATCAATATCTAGATCGATTAAAGTTGTGTCAATCCTTAAGCAACGGTAAAAACACGGACGTGAGCATCGGCCCTTAAGTTTATTTGGTGTTTTATATTCTTAAAATAAATTTGTTCTCTTAATATTAATATATTATACACAAATATTAATTCATGGTTTTTAAATTGAAGTGAGGGCACATCAAAATCTACCGCGGGCCGCGGGTTCGACACCCCTGGGACTACAGCCCGAATGCCGAGTGGTATACTAACGCATGAAAAACAGTTTTTGTTGTGTTTTGCTTTTGTAAGATGGAGACCACACATTATACGGCTGTAACGTCCTCTTAAGTATACAAGGTGTCAAGGTGATCCATTTAAGTATATAAGTATCTCAAATTTTTTTGAAAAGATTGAAAATAAATATTACTAAATTATTTTAACATTTTTTGATGTCATCACAAAACCAAATTGTTGATATACAATGTTTGAATAATTTGAAAAAATTTGATAGTCAGATAATGATAGATAAATTCACTCTAATATTAAAAATAACAAGAATTAATCGGATTCAACTTAACGTAAAATTGGCTATGTTAATAATATGTTAGGTATATTGTTACGCGTTAGTAAGTTTCAGACAACACATGCGGGTGCTGCGTCCTCATAAAAACTAGGGCATAATTATCTTTTACTATTTAAAAGATTTATCATTTTTAAAGATTTTCGATCAAGTGTTAGGTACACAAATAATTTATGTCTTAACAACGGCGTCGTTAGACAAACATTTGTTAATAAAAAATTATTGTGGAAAGTTTCAGACGCCTTTTCACAATGGTATCAAAATAATATTGTAATTTGACATCATTTTCCTGGAAAGCTATTTAATATATTACTTATTAGTAGGGCAGCGGACTTGAAGCATTTGAACATTTGTTTTACATGATCACAAAAATTAGCAGAGTAAGAAACAAATACGTTTCATGCTGAAACAAAGCTAGTTTTTAAATTTTATTTTGCGTATAAATGCATATTTTGAGTTTTTTTGTTTTTAGTGCATATTTCTTCGTTTGATCGTTTCTATACTTTAAGATACATATTTTCAATAGTTTATCATTTTATCAATATTTTTACCGCCGATATTTTAATTTAATTTAAATATTTAATATACAACCAAAATAATATTGAATTTAAAATTATTTAAAATTTTAATCATATTAATATGGTGGTTGACTGTTGCCACACGCATGTTTTTCCTAGAGCACGTCTCGAGGATGGTCGATTAGATTATTTTATTTTCCGGTTATTAATTTTATTTATGTACAGATATTGTTCACTGCATAAGATATTATCAATACGCGCGAGTCACGTTGACGTCGGTCGCTGACATCAAAATTAAAATCAAATATATTCATACAAATAATCTTATTTGTAATGCATTATAATATGCATAATAATTTTAAAATGCATATTTATTATGCACATTTTGTACATTTTAGTGCATATTTGGTGATTTTTTAGAGCTATACAAGTCCTCCGCCCTACTTATTAGACACACATTTTAAACTTAAAAGTCTAACTAAATTTGTAATTTGTGATAATAATGTCATATCGACTTATGAAATTTGTTAGAAATTAAGATAATCCGTTATTCTATTAGTATGATTACTTAAATTTATAAATTATAAATAATAAATGTTTAATGGCCTATCAAGTTTATTATAAATAAATATCAACTACCTATTTTTATAGTACAGTTAGGTTAGGTACTTGAATACCTAGTTGATATTATTATAAAAATTTCAGCTATATTATTCTAATAATTATTTATTAAAAAACAATGTAATTTAAGTTGTAATAATTAGCACACATGACACATTACAGTTTAATTAAATGTGTACCTAATGGCTTATAAAGTTTATTAAAAATGTAGATTAGCCATTTCATATTTTCACCACTATAATTACTTGAATAATAAACTAGGTATATAAACATCTAACATCATATAACATTTATTCTATGTCTATATAATGGTTATGAAGTTAGCACTCTCACATAACTAAAATGAATCCAAAGTAATGCAAAGAATATTTTGAAAATAATTTGACACTATTTTCGGAATTTGCAAATTACAATAGTAATTTGGAAGAATTGTTTGCCAATTTTGGTCAGTCTCCCCTTCCTCAATTAGTTCGAATGCCAGATCCGTTTCGAACCGACACCAACCCTTAGTGAATCAAATAATTGCAAACTACTTTTTAAAATTTTAAAACAAACTGGGGGAGGTTGACAGAAATTAGTAAAAATGTTTACAAAATTACAATTTTGATATAAAAATGTCAAAATAAACTTTTCAATAAATTTGTTTAGTGTTGGCCAGAATGGATCGGCCAAAGTGAAGGGCTCTACGAAGTTACCCCCTCTCCCGCTACCAAACATGAAATTTAATTTGCGGCATTGTGTATAATTTGTAAATTCTAAAATTTCATTTGCAATTATTTGCTTTTCATTTTCTGAATAAGTTTCACCATTTTAGATTAATTTTAGTGATTTGAGAGGAGAGGAGGGGGTTAAAATCAACGTCTAAATATTTGCAGCAAATACATGAAAAACGTCAATTATTAAAATGCCAAATAGTTCGAAGCGTGTATTAAGAATTAGAGAACAACAATTTTTTCAGTATAGGTACGTACTATAGTACTATACGTATGCCAATTTATAATTCCACTGTTTATTTAATACCTATTATGATATTTGTGTAGGTAAAGTGGGTATATAAATTGCAAAGCATTTTTTCGGTGTTTTTTTTCATCCAGCCTCAACGATCGGACTATATACCTACATGCATAACCTATTATATAATATTAGGTACTCGCATGCATCTTGGGGCAGTCAGGCATCAGAGGGATATAATACTATTCGAAGCAATTGCTTCATAGCTTCAACATGGTAAATTATCATTTTGATGTAATAAAAGGGATGGTTGGTGGTAAAAATATTAAAAATGTATACAATTTGCTTCAAAGACTCAAAAAGTTTGCTCCGCCACTGTCTTGGGGTACTGATCGGGTCGTTATTTTGTTAATAATTATTATAGGACCTAGATGTTGATGAAGTGATGCTCTAATAAACCTACAAAAATGCATTTAAGACCTAAAAATGAAAAAAATTGTACATCATGTTAATAACCTATAAATACTTATACAACGATCATAAGACTATTAAAGTTAATACAATTATTTCCCAAATTTTAGAATTAAAATTACAGTTTATAAACATATTTGTTTTTATTTAAATTTGAAAACTGATTATAAACTAGAAAACAGTTGTTTAATTTTAAATTTTGGTTAAGTATTTTTGGTAATATTAGGTAAAATTAAATTATTTGATTGATAGAATGTGGAAAATGTTTTTAAAATGATAACAAATAATGAACACATATTTTTTTTCTCAATTATTAAAAAAAGGTAAAACATATGTAATAAATGTCTAGAGAAAAAGATATTGCTATATAGGTATTAGGTAGTGTCACCCTGAATATCACAAATATATTTACAACAAATATTATATCCGACAAATGTTTTGGTAGAAAAGTATTATATCCGAAAGCTATTAGATACGAAAATAAAACACATCACTAAAAATATTTTATTAAGAAATATTATGTTCAAAAATGATACATGCCTAAAATAAATTGTTAAAAAACAATTTTCTATCATTTTTTTTAGAATCGTTCAAATGTTTTGTTATGGCTTATGTAACCCAGAGGTAAACAAAGAAAAATATGTGTTTTGCGGTAAATTATAAGAATGTAAGAAGAAAGTTGGGCATAGTTCGTTTTGAAGTTATCGGTGCTTACCATTCTAAGTAACTTTTTTAAAGAAAATTCGCGTTATGGAAAAAATGTACTTAATGAAGATTTTATCGATAACTTAAAAACGAAATTTGTCGGACTTTTTTTACATTTTTATACAACACCCTAGAACACCCATTGTGGAAATTAAGAAATCTAAAAATCGATAGGTTGTTAAACTAGAGTTATGCCAAAAAATCTTAAATTTTATTGTTCGAAACCATTGCGACTTCATTGCGGTAAAACATTGTAGCTTCGCGGTGACGCGGTTTTTATAATACAATAGCTACCCATATTTTATCATTATTCCTCCGACATCGTCTTTAAGAGCGCTACGGAGTCGATGGCGGCGGCAGCGTTTGACGATGTACCTCCAAGAACGGCAACAAACGCACACACCGTTCGGCCGCGCGTCGTTTTTACCTCCACGCAGCGGGTTACCGTCAAAATGGCCGATGCGCCGCCGCCGTCTCCGTGTTTTTATTTATTTACCCCGCCACTCCGCGGCACCCGTACCTCCTCTACACCCCTCGCACCATCGCAAAACGCCGACCGACCCGCCACCACACACCGCCGTGCCAAAGCATGTATTATCGTGTGTGCGCGCGTGCGTGTGCGTGTGTGCGTGCGTTAAAGTGTGTGCAGAGTTACCGCGCGTGCGTGCGTGCGTGTACGTCAGTGTGTATGTACGCGCGCGCTTGTGTGTGTGTAACATTGGGTTTTATTATTGTCACCAGCGACATCAACCAACCAGCACACCGCCGTCTATGATCCGAATCAGTGCCATTTCGCCCGGTAAATTGTGTTTTGCCGTCGCCTTTGTCGTTGTTGTCGCGTCATTTTCGGCGTCGTTGGGCCACAAGCACACGATTTAAACTATCGTAGTCTGCGGTCTCGTCTTTGGTACGTTATCGCGCGTTCTGGGGCCGTCTCCGTAACGAGCGCGCCCGCCACCGTCATTCGTTCCGATCACGTTGGTTTGGACGCGCGCGCGTTAACGTTGTTCTTGTCGGCCGCCGCACCGATTTCCCGTGTACTGAACGTTCGCTGCGACATACCGTCGCTGTAGTCACCTGTCCATACCGCCCTGGCCCTTTCCGTGCCCTATGACTGTCGCGCACGTTTTACGGTAAACCAGCCAAGTCCATCGAGCCAATCGTGCTGGAGGTCGCATCCGTCTCGCTAATGGTCTTGTCACGTGCGTTCGCAGTCCGCAGGCTGTGAAGATCATGCCACAAGACACGGCCCAACTGCAATCGGATGACACTGGCGGTGGCGAAACAAATGGCCGAAACAAACGCAGGACAGTGCCATAACGCATGGTGACTATGCATGCATTTGTCTAGTACCGACATTACACCACAGTGATTATAAATTGTCCATGTGAGTTGTAACATCCTTATTGTAGCATTATGTTAAGTTTTCTCGGGTTAGGTGTGTCGTGTTAGTGTTGTGTACGTCCTGACCATTGTTTGTTCGTAGGTACCTACATGTTTTATGTATTTTCCTAGCTATTTTTTAGCGTATCACTGTTTGATGATGTTGACCAGTAATTTGCTCAGTTGCTCTACCCTACAGAAGTACAAAATTATGTTTAAACCCCAGTTCTAACCTACAACTACCTGTCTGTTGTATTATTTTTTTTACAATATTTAATCAAAAGAAGATACCATTCTACCTATTTATATTCTTTCCTACCATTGTATAAAAAAGTTGAACAGCTTGAGAAATTATACAGGTCATTTTACAGTTAAAACAACAGACATATAATAGGTATATGTTCTTATTTGTATACCTAAGTATTAATCCTATCTAAGCATGATGACTAATATGAAGGCAATATAGATGTATATGTATTATGTAAAAGTATTCCGTTCAACGTTGTTTTTGTAATAACTTTATATTAAGTTTTATAGTATTTTTTTTTCTAAAAGAATTAGGTTCGTAGAATTGGCAAGGACAAAGGTTAAAGTCTTTTTAAAATATTAAATAATTCTATTTTTGATTAGTATGCCAGTTTACTCATCATATCTTATCTTAATGTATGTACGTACTTAATTGCAGCATTACAATAATTTTCCTTGCCATTTTAATTGGTTTTAATAATTTTACCATTGAGGATTTTTGAAACTGTATATTTGGTGCTTATTGGTTATCTCCCCAGTTATCTTTGATTACTATTATTAACTAATAGGTAACTATATAGTCTTAGACTATCTGTGATATTGGATATCAAGTTAAATCAACCACACTTTTAAAGAAACTATAGGTAATCAATAAGTAGGTATCATTGATAGTAACTGTAGTCAAAATACTCTGTAAAGTCATTAACTTAATACAGCGAATTCTCGATAACTGAAATCATTCAGGGATAAAAAAATTTTTTTTTATTGTTAAGCATGAAAATATTGAATTTTACTTTTGAAGTTTACCTAAAGCTAAGCTTCTTAATTCTTTGAAATATATTTGTCAATTCCCATTTTATTTTCAAAGGTTATTTTATTATTTTCAAAAACACCTAAAATACTTTTCAAATTAGTAAAATTAAAATTATAGGTACCTATATTAAGATAAGTAATAATTATACAAATTGAATGTGATTACTCAACCTAAGAACACTCCATATAGATTCTCAAAATGTTAACTAAATGTAACAATAACTAATAGTAAAATAAATACAAACATAAATATGAATTTTATATCCTACATTACAAATTGAGGTAATTAAAATGAACTTAATTATCATTATTATGACATTGTTGATCAGCAAAAATATTAACCTTTCTATCTAATCAATTTTTTTAGTTCAAATATTATTATCTAATTTTAATCAATGTTACGTATTTGCATTAAAGTAAAATAATTGTATGTCTTTTATTTAATCTATTTCATTACATTAAGTATCTTACCTCATGACGTATAGATAACCAAAATAATTTAAATTCTATACATTGTTAAGCAGAAATTGGGTTAAAATGGAATTGCACACATAGAAAAACTACACACCAATTTTTGTTAACTTTTTTTGCTACTAAAAAAAGTGTGCCTTATATACTCCGTTATAAATTTTAACAATAATTAAACCAGGATGTTGTAGCTAACCTTTTCCAACAAGTGAACTACATTAAAAATGTTAAATAGGTATCTGCTGATCGACCACTTTTTAATTTTCATTATTATATGCAGCATAATAATACATTTTGTGATATTATTCTTCTTTTATTATTTCTTCATCGGAAAATTATATGTTTTTTTTTGCTAATAAATACTTACTTGTTTTTGTACCTATATAAAACTTTAAGGTGTGTTTAAGATTATACGTTATCAACCGATATTAATCTAATTAATCTTTAATACAATCGTCCAATATTCCTTTAAAGATCGAGTGGTGGATGACCCCTTAACTTAACTCTGTGGCACTAAAAATTGTGGTAAAATTATGTTTGTTTAATTGTAAAAAAATACTTACAAAAGTAAGATTTAAAATCAAATATCTTTTAATATTATATTAAAAGTTAAAATATCATGCAGCATTTTGAATAATTGCTATTTCACTAATCTTATAGGAAAAACAAAATTAACAATTAAATTTAAACTATACATTTCACAAAACACATTAAAAACTTAAAAAGTAATAAATCACAGTGCTAAAAAGTTGCAAATGCAATAAAGTTGAAACCTTATATACCTTATTATTATAATCATTATTTAAATATCATATTTGCTGATTATAAGTTAAAGATATACTGAAAAACATTTTTTTAATTATTGTATTTTTTAACACACTTTTTATTATCTTGTTTTCGCTTATGTATTCAATGATGAATCATGACTTTATTTCAAATCTGTACCCATCACTTATTACAAATATATTTGTTTAATTGTCTTAATATTTGTTATCTAATAATATTTTCCTCGTTATACCTTATTGTATGTGTTCAACACTTCATATTTCAAACTTTTTACTGTTTGAATTTTGCAAAAAAATTTTATTGTATCATTCTAATTTAAACATTTTTACTATAGATATCGTAAAAATAAAGAATTTGTTAAATATTTATCATTAAACTTAAACTGAATAAAAAAATAAAAATTGTATGGCTTATAATCTATCCTTGTCCTAAATTCTAAAATTTAATTTAGATACATTGTGTATTCATAAAATAATATATTTTCTATCTTATCAATTATTTTAATATGTTCATATTAAATTATATAAATTGTGACTTATGGTGGTATTCAAAATGGTATGGAAGATAGACTTAAGATAGGTAACCATAATATTATATATGATATGTACCTATATAAACTTAAAAATAACAAAATGTCTGATGTTAATTGACTTCTCAGAGCAAAATCAAAGCTTTGAAAAATTTAGCACACCACCTGGTAGTGTACCCCAAGGTGGTCATTTATCTCTTTTTATTTCTAATTTTTATAAATTATATTTTTCCAATATTAAAATGTTTCAAATTCTAACTATTTGCAGACAGCCTAAGACTATATACAACTATTAACTCATTTGATAGTATACTTCATCTTCAAAGTGACTTAGACAACCATTCCCATTGTATTCAATTTTAACTTGTCTAGTTCATCTTGATCATCAGCAACTGTTACAATTTCACAAAATCAGGGGTCCAAAAACTATATTATATTGATAAAACTATAATAATTTGGGTCTGTCTATACGCAGTCGATTAGACCACCACCGTCGTTATCATTTTGTTATTATCAAAAACAAAGTTGTTATCATATCGTATCATCCATTATAATAAACACATACATTACATTATTTCATATAATATAATATAATAACATATTATTATATAAATTGTATAATAAATCTTTTATTTTATAGTATAGGCACCTATACTTGACTGCTAGTAGAATTTGATGCATATTTTGCATATACAGCAATTTCAATTTTCTTAACACATGCAATCTGTGTACAAGTTCTTTCAACAAAGTCCTCCAGCATAGATGATACAATCTTAATATTAGAAAAGTTATCTTCAATAATATATATATTTTTTTTTTTTTGTACACAGATGACGCAATGATTATTAAATAATCTCAGTTAATCAAAAATAGTTTTAATAGTGTTAGAAGTTTTTAGAAAGTGCTTAAACTAAAGAGTTAACTAGTAAATAATAACTTTACTTTGGTCATGATATATAAAAAATTATATTACGCCTTCCCTATCGAGCCACTACCTAATTTCCCATAATAGAGAAAAATTGAGATAATTATTTGACTATTGAGGTAAGATAAACATTTAATTTGCAAATAGTAGTATAATTATTAATTAATAATTTTTACTACCATAATAGTAGGACTTTACACTCTGATTACTGTATTGTTTAGGCACCTTTATTAAATTTTTAAATTTTTAAGATACTATATTTATATTAATGTTCCATTTCAGTTTATTAATAACATATTAAATAGTTAATACTAAATATTAACTATTTTAAATAGTTCCATTTCTATGGCCAGAAGTCCCGTCTTATAGGTACTTTAAGGTTCCGTATTTTAAAATATATTGTAATATAGATTACCTACACGTGTTAAGAAAATTGCAATTGCTGTGTATGCAAAAAATATGCATCAAATTCTACTAGCAGTCAAGTATAGGTGCCTATATTATAAAATAAAAGATTTATTATACAATTTATATAATAATATGTTATTATATTATATTATATGAAAAATGTAATGTATGTATTTATTATAATGGATGATACGATATGATAACAACTTTGTTTTTGATAATCACAAAATGATAACGACGGTGGTGGTCTAATCGACTGCGTATAGACAGACCCTAATAATTTGCATTGTGCTACCAACTTGAATGTTAAATATTGATATGCCATATGATTGGGTATGGTTTAAATATTTTATATCTAACTCAGAAGATATTTATCATGATGAATTTACATTAAATTTATTGGTTATTTCATTGATATTTATTACTTACTAATAATTATTAGTTATTGATAACTAAATATAAATTAATTTTATATCATGCTGTTGTGAGTAGACAGTGGTTACACTGGTTTTTAAATATATTTTAGTAACTAGTTACCTGAGACATGAGGGCTTAGATAAACTAGACCTTACAATGGCTTGAATTTGAATAATTCCAAATGTACATTTATTTCATTTTGTCGTTGTAAACAAAAAATAACTTCTGATTATAAAATTGTGGATTTTAATCTTAAATATATGCGTTAGGTTCTTTATCAAAGGACTTAGGCTTAATCAAGGCTTAACTGAACATATTAATCTAATTTGTAGCAAAACTATTCACTTAGGATTATATTAGAATATAAGGATTTTTGAAAAGATATAGCTCAGAATTTAATAATCCTACCCAATTCTTTAATTGTCTGTAACCCAACTCAAGTTGGCCTTAAAGATAAACTTGAGAAATTTCTAACATGATTCTTGTTTATTACCCATGGAATTGGTTTGGTTAGTTATCCAGCAAAAGATGTCTCCATATTATGCCAAATACCTACTTTAGAATCTAGACAGCTAAATACAGATTTATCATTCATCTATAAACTACTAAATATTGTTGTTAATTTATGTTATATGCATGCTGTGTTTTGTATTATTCCACTCTAATGTATTTCTGTATCTTATTAACCTTCGAGAGTGTCACTTAATGAATAAATAAAATAAATAAACAAACAAATATAAAAAAATTTAAAAGTGTTATTTTCATAATTTATGATTTTGTTGAAAATATTTTACTCAAATCTATTTGAATAGATGTGATTAAAGATATTTATACCTCACTAATTATAATTTTGAATTAAATTAATAGATATGTTAAATCATTAAATTATACATCCATAACTTTGATTGTATAATTATCATTAGTGCCTATCTATTTAATTAATTTGGTTGATGTTCTATTTCAACAGCTCCACAAGATTTATTATCACATAAGCTCACGCGTGTGATGATCAAGGAGAAGCAATACATCGAAAACAAGTCTTCATCATTTAGTAGTGAAGGGGAACCTAATGCTGGGGATGATAATCAAATGATCAAAACACCTGATAATAATAGTAGTGAACTTCATCACGATTTGGACAGAATTATCAAAACCGAATCTGATATGACAGCTTTAATAGATAATGCTGGTGGGGATGTAGCTGATAATAAAAGTGGTGTTGGTGGAAGTGCTAGTAGCAATACTTCTCCAGGTTCTTCTAACACAGATCAAAAACAACAGCTAATGTCGAATGATATTTGCCTTAGTCAAAGTGAGTATTAATTCTAGATTATTGCCTTAAAAAAAAAAAAAAAAATTGCCGGTACTAAAATTATTATATGGTGTCTTCAGTTAAGCACGAAGATTCCAGTAATAACAGTGGCATTAAAGTAGAAGATAACAATACTACAAGCACAACCACAACTACTGTTGAATCTGACTTTGGTATGACTTAAATTATTTAATTTAATTTTAGATATTAAACAATATTTTTTTAGAATCGTGTGATCGAGTTGTACTTTCTTCAATGAGTAGTGGCAGTGGAGGGCCATCAGATTTAATTGATGGTTCTGGTGGAGTACAACCATTAATGAGCAATGTCTTAGGTGCGAATGCTACAGGAAACAAACAATCAAATACAACTAGTGGAAATATGGATGCCCAACAACAACAGTACATGCAACAACAAAGTCAGATTTTTGTATTTTCCACGAGCTTAGCAAACAAATCAGCTGAATCTGTATTAGCTGGCCAATATCCTACTATTATAGCTTATCATTGTGCTCAACCACGAACAAAAAAATTCCTAGAGGTATGGTGAAATATTTTTATATGTCAACTGAAAATTCTCAATAACCCATATAAAAATAAAATCTAATGCATTTTTAATTTTATTAGAAACATCCATTAAAAGTTAACCAGTTTAATAGACAAAACCCTGGACAGTGGATGAATAATGTGGTTGCATCCCAACAACAAATGAAACATCAACAACAACTTAACAAAGGTATGGCTCCTCATGGCGGACAACCGAAATATGGCGGTGGTACACCTTATTCAAGAGCAATGAAAAACAGTAATAGTCCATCAGGTGCCTCAATGGAAAATCCAATGATGCAACAACAACCTGGAGCAAGAATGCCTATGTGGAATCATCATCAGGTTAGTTTTAATCAATTATATCCAATTGATATGCAATATTTGTTTTAGTTTATACATATGTGTTAATAAAAGTTTCAATGTATTGCCATGGCATTACTTACTGATTGCTAAATGTTATAAGCAGTGCCCATAGGCTCGCCCTGTGGTTTTCCATGGGCCGAAGCACCCTATGTCTCAACTATATTTCTCATATATTTTTTATCATTATTTTTTAGGAATGGAAATTCTATTTATCATACCAATGAATAATTTTAATTCAAAGAGTAAAAAAAAAGTTATGCCCACTTATTTAACAATAATATCATTGATTACAAATGCTAATATTTATAATCAATAATAGTATGTTAGTGTAATATTTATTGCTTCTATCTATTGTGCATTTATTATAGCAAAATAACTATACTTTTATTCATACAAAATATGACTTAATATTATTATTTCTTAATTAAATGAGTGTTTGATCTAGTGTGCCAAGGATATTTTCTACTTTTATATTGTTTAAGAAACTATTTAATTAATTTATTATAAACTTAAGTAAATTATTTTATTAAAAATATTGAAATATTGAAAATTTCTTACAAAGGGTAGACTATCATAATCTTATTAAATCTATATTTACTGATTTTTATGTTACATTTACCTAGTCCAAATAATTATGACTAGTAATCTTGAATATCTCATTTCTGTCTTCTGATTTATAGAAGGCATTGTTTACCAGTATAGTGATATGATATTGATACATTAAATACGTATTAAAACCATCGTATATACGATCATTATGTCTTAATTAGTAATGTACAGTAATAGTCTGTAGTAGATATGTGACTTATCTAAGATAACGATGCCTGACCAGAAATAGAATTATTACTACATGTACGGTACAACACAGCAGTGTCGCGTGTCGTGTAGTGTTGACATAGGTAATAGGTATACATTATAGTTTCATTATATTTCATTAGTTACTTGTTTTTACTAGTTCATAATGCCGAAATCACTATCAACTAAATTAAAAGTTTAATCATAACTTATGATTCAAATCAGCTCTGATTTTAATTATTTTAAATTTTTAAAGTGATTCAATAATACAATCCGGCAACACTAATAAAAATTTAAATCAAAATTATAAACATGTGATTTGTTGTAGGTTATTTTTTGATTTCATAAACCAGTGATTGCATTAGGCAAATTTCACTTTTTACTGTATTAATTGTGCAGGGGATTTTATTACACAAAATAGATCATGATTATTAATACTATAACAAGCGTTAGTTACTAGGGCTAAAGACTTACAGAGATTTGCATGTTTTTTTATACTGTTCAAAACATAAGCTTAATGATTTAGAAATCTGTTCGGTGAATTCATTTCTCAATTAATTTTTTAAGGATAAGAAGTCCCTAGCTAGTGATTACAAATAAGTAATTAAACGTCAGAAATATTTTTCTTTGATAAATACTTTGAATTTTTTTTTTTTAATATCAAAATAATTAATTATCGTAAGATATCAATTGTTGTATTCCATACAACTTTTGACCGATTGTTTTTTTTAGTTTGGTCTCCATAGAGTTCTTACAGTTTTGAATATGAGTAACTTACAAATTGTCTTGATTAAATCTTGTCAAATGTCAAAGAAATAGGTATAGAACACCCTTTTGCATTGATTATGGTGTACTTGAATCTAAAGTATATTATAGTTTATAAATTAATAATTTTTCATTCAGTTTTCACTAATAATAATATGAAATTTTACTTTAAACTGAGTCTTAAGATATTTTAAAATGTTCTTATAACATAAAATCATAGTAATATTTTTAAGAAATAATAAAGTATGTGTGATAAAAATAATAAAGTAGAACATATTATTTAACATACTATAGTGGTCTGGCGACTACAGGTGTCGATGAGGGGAATAGGATGAGGTGTATTTATTTAATATTGCAACGCTTGTTGTATGATGTAGTATTTATTATTATTTAATAAAAGAAACAAATGTAATTTAAAACTGTGGATTGAATAATCTGTGCTAGAATATTTGTCACAAAAAATTACTCAGTGTTCAGAAAAATATCGGGTTGAATCGAATATTTTCTAAGTCCAAATATATAATTAACTGTTCGAAATTATTCCAAGTCCAAAATAATACAATCAAAAGACTGACTAGCGTGAAGGTGCTCTGGCTCATCTGGTCAAATCACATCTGAATGTGGGCTGTTCGGGGGTTTCCTGTATAGGCCTACCCTCTACTTCTCCTAGCCCTCTTGGTACGATTATCGTTCCCACGGATGCTGTGTCCGCCGACTATCGTACCGAGAAATACTAACGGCCCACGCCGCGATACAATTTTCTTGAGAGCGCATCCCGGGCGTCGCAATGTGTATAGTCGAATATTTATTATGTGGTATTCGAGATAACTATGCACCTATGAATTATTAATCATAAGTGTGACTAAGTATTATTACAGTTTTTCCCAGAATCAACAGACTCGTTTACAATATTCTAATAGAAAATTGCTTATCATCTTTAAACACGTCGCATCCCTCATATTATATTGTGTATAACCTGTACCTGGTTTATACGCCTTTTGTCACCCCGTAATTACCTTTATGGCGGGACACGGTACGCTAGTCCATAGCAATGAAGAATTATAGTATCTAAACAACCACGAACGATCCAATGATAATTATTATTTACATCTCCTTTTTTCATAAGGTTTCTAGAACCTGAGTAATTAACACATCGTTATGATTCTCACTTTAGGATTGATCGTATTGTTGAATGGTTAATAGTGTTATATTCCACTATTTTTCTACTTACATATTTATATTTTTTAATTTATAATGGACATTAAAAAAAGTCAAAATTTAATTTTAATTGTAATTTTAAGGGAAACAATATCAATGATTCTGGACCTCAACAGCTACAACATCCTTCAAATCATAATATGATGGGATCAATGTGTGGTCCTGGGAATAATGGTATTATGGGTATGTCAGCTCATGGTGGTGGAGGACCAATGGGTCCTGGAATGTTAATAAACAGCAATAATTCAAATCAATCAATGATGGGTCCTGGTCCTGGTTCAATGATGAATCAGCATGGTATTTATTTGAAATTATTTAAATTTGAATGTTTTACTAAAATTACTGTTAATTTTCAATTTTAGGAAATTTATGTTCTATGGGGCCTGGAAGCGGTGGTGGAATGCCCATGAATGGTATGGACTTGGATTTAATGGATCATCACAACCCACATCATCAGCAGCACCACCCAAATCCACATCATCCATCTAATATGATGGATGGCGGTCATAGACCAATGATGGGTGGTGGTCCTCACCATCCTCATCATCCTCCTCCACATCATCCTTCTGGTGCACTTCACCATAGAGGTTCTCTTGGAATGGGTGGACCTCCTCACCACCATGGTATGTCTGACATGATGACTATGGGTGGCCCTAATAAATGTCAACCATCCTCTATGGATAGTCTTATGTCATCATCTGGTGGACCACCAGTATCAGTACCTTCAGGCCCAGGTGGTTCACCAGGTGGCCACAATTCTTTAGCTTCTATGATGCCATCTTTAGCTGACTTTGATGATCCTATAGGTAGTGGAAATTCATCGCTAGGAGGAACATCACACCATTCATTAACTGGTGAGTATTTCATTGGAAACCATAAACCCCATTCATAAGTATTTCACAGATAATTTAAGTGAAATTATGTTTATAATAACAAATACATAATAAACAGTTATAAATGATTAAAATTTAATGCCTAAACTTAATGCAAAATTTAAAGCCTCAAAAAAAAAAAAAAAGTTAGTATGTTTCACTTATTTAATTTACATAATGTGTAAAATACAATAAATGAGCATTAAGTAATCTCTGTTCTCTTTTCTTGTCGCAAGTCAATTAAAATTTTTATTCTTATAAACATAATGAGTTGAAAGCTCTTTTTTATTTATGTTATTATGTACCCTTTAACATTTTTTTTAACACTACATATTTTATAATATTTTTATTGTGTTAGGTGTTCAAGTACCTGATGAAAATTTGACTCCACAACAAAGACAACATCGTGAAGAACAACAAGCGACTTTACGAAAACTTCAACTAGTGTTATTTCCTGAAAACTCAAATAGTGGTGGAGGACCTTCTCAACAGCAACCCCCACCTGTTACATCGTCATCCTCTTCTGTTGGAGGTCCGTTAGACAATTGCAGTGGAAGTGGTGGTATGGACGATTTAATGCCTTCTATTGATGATGATTTGGATGTAGATGCTGTTGTAACAGCTGCAGCAGCAACTAATTCTGCAGGTGACCTCTTATTGCCACCTAAGACACCCACATCATGTTCATCTGATTGGCCAAAATCAATGTTTGGCAATGAAGATGAGAAGAAGAAAGATAATGGAGGACGTTGTGGGCCACCGCCTTCTTACCATCAAACAGTAGCTCGATCTGCTAGCGTTCCTATTGTTTCAGTACCAAGTTGTAGCCCCAACTCACCATTAGCTGGCAATGGTACTGGAGTAACAAATAGCAATTTGTCGTTGCCATCTCCTCGCACATGTTCAGCACTTAACTCTCCAGCTGGTGGTCGACCTTCATCAAATATGAGCCCTACTGCTGTACGATCTCCTGGTAGCAATGGATCAAGACTACAATCCAGTAATCCAGGTACACCAGTTCATATGTCACCCGGCCACAATTCTTGTTCATCTATGAAACAACAAAAAGGACCGATGTCCAACGAATTTTCACCCTCATCTAACATTGCTACTCCGGGTCAACCTAGTGGTGGTGGTCAACAATCTCCTGGTATATAGTTTAATATAAATTATATTAATTTATTTTGTAACTTATTATTTATTATTACCTTTGTAGATGGATTATTTTGTCACAACAATAAACAGCTATCTAAAAGAGGAGATGAACCTAATTTAATGCCTGTTCCTTCTCCTCAACACATTCAGTACCTTAATACATTTGATGGTCAAGAACTTACCATTCAAAAACAACCTAATACAGGTTTGAAAGATTCATCGTCCTCTACTACTACAACTACTTCAACGATGTCTCCCTCGTAAGTCAATCTAGTTGAATTTTATATATAAATGAAATAATATGATCAAATCTTTGTAACAATATCAAATATTTAGTTAATATAAGTTCCATCAAAATTAATTAATTATCTCAGAGAATGTCAAATTTGTACATTTTATTCATGGTTCATTGTAACTAATAATATCTTCATTTCAACTGTATAAGTTGATTTATAATTATTTTGTTATTAATTTTGTATTTAGTGTTATTCACTTATTTCGCATATTATTTTAAAAATAATGAACATTTGTCACTATTCTTTTATATTATACTTTCATTGAAAGATTTTGTAATATTTTTTCCAATATTAGAATACTTTCCAACTAAATATTCAAAAATTAAATCTTCTACACCAAAATTAATTTTTTTTCTATATTATCATTTTTGACAATTCAAATTTATTTTTATTTATGGGATTTAAGATTAAGAAATTGAATTGCACGCTTATTGCCAAGACATTATTTGTGAGTTGATTCTTATTAATTGCTTTATTTTGGATTTATTTACAATACATTAAACAATCAATGATCTGCACCGATGAGTCTGTATTGCATATAAATTTAAACTAAATGTATGTTATTTATTTATAAAATCTGAGCCAAACACGTTATTTTATGTTGTTAGTAGTAATAATCATATTTTAAATAAATTATGTAATATTGCTATTAATCGTTCTAATATAGTTATGTTTTTATTGTTTTAGGGTCCCTACATCTCAAAACAATATGGACATGATAATGACTGATTCAAATATGAAATCATATAATATTGTTCGTCCTGGTGATATGCCTTTGAACCCTTCTGCTGCCGCGGCAGCTGCAGTTGCAGCTGGTCTTCAAACATCACAACAGCAACCAATGAAACATTTTGATCCGATATCTTCTTTGGCTCAAATGAACCAACAATTAGCTAATAATGTAGCTGGTGGAGGATCATCTCCGATTGTTAACCATGGCGGTGGAGTACCTTCTTTACATCATCCTGGTGGTCCAGGACATCACCATCCTGGAGGTGGAATGATGTCACCTTTCGGTGGAGGAGGTGGTCCACCAATGCACATGATGGGTGGTAATAATGATCCTATGTGTGGTCCAATGGGAATGGGCAGTGGTGGAATGCACGAAAGTGGAATGGGTGGTCCTCCTGGTAGTGGTGGTCGAATGATGTATGGACCTGGACCAGGGATCGGACAAGGACCACCACCACCAGGTCCTAATGGAGGTGGAATGTCCATGGGACCAGGAGGTGGAGTACCAATGGGAATGCCTCCAATAGGTGGAGGTAGGAATGGTGGTATGATGATCAATTCCTGTGTTAGTGGTGGTCCATTATCACCAAAATCTTCATCAATGATGCAACAACAACAATACCAACAACAACAGCAACAGCAGCAAAGATTAATGCCTAGAATACCAGCAGGAGGTGGACCCGGAGGCTTGTATAATGGTGGTGCTAATATACAGGTGAAACCTAGTGCACCCAACACAATACAATACTTACCCAACAATTCTAGAGGTGGCGGTCCTAGAGGTGCTCCTCCTCCTCCTCAAAATCAACAACAACAGCAACAACCTGGCTTAGATTTTTTGCAAAGATTTTCTGGTGGACCTGGTAATGGTGGAAATCCATTGTCTAATCTAGATGGAAAAGTACCTACACACAATTTACAATATTTTCCAAATTCTGGTGGCGGCGGTTACAATAATAGTAATGGCGGCGCTGGAATTAATGATATGATGTGTGGTAACGGTGGTCCTCCTGGTGGAGGTGGTATGGGAGGTATGCCCCCTGGTGGTCCTAATAATAGTCGAGGAATGATGCGTGGTAGTTCAGGAGGGGGTATGATACGACTAGGAAGTGGTAACAGCGGAATGGGAATGAGTGGTAGTAACTATAACGGAGGACCTTCAGATATTATGTTTGGTGGTGGCGGACCTCTTCATCATCCATCAGCAGGTCATCCACAACAACAACAAATGATGATGATGGGAGGTGGTACAGGTGGTCCTCCACCCCAGCAACATAAAGGTGGAGGAATGATGGGGGGACCAGGCCCTCCAGATGCTACTCAACCTTTACCGCCATCAATGGGTGGTGGAGGTGGTCCAGGACCTGGCGGTGGTCCTGTTGGATTTAGGGGTGGTCCACCTGCAGCAAATTCATTCATCGGTCCAACCACAGCTGATCCAAATTATGCCCAGCAATTTCATAATTTCCAGCAACAATTGTATGCCACCAATACTCGTGGTGGAGGAGGAGGGGGAGGTCCATCTGGACCTGGCGGAGGAGGACCTCAACAATTTTTTGTGTCCAAGTAAATTACAATAATTTGACTTTTTCCAAAGCAATAACAATTATTTATATTAGCAAATATGTGTGTTGTATTATTAATCCTCTCCCTTTTTTTTAATTATATTTTTTTAAGCTGCCTCCCAATTGTATAAGATTAACAGCAGACTGATAATCCTTAAAGATAATTATTTTTATGTGTATTCACTTTGTTTTCAAATAACACCCAGAAATTTAAGTTTGAAAATAATGTAAAAAAAATAGTTAATTTATGCGTGTATACAATATAAGTATTATTAAAAAATATATATATGTATAATATATATATTTATACTAAAACTGTATAGACGTGAACATTTATAGTGGAAAAATAACAAATAATCCGTCTCCACCACTGCATACTACAATTTAATAATTTATTATTATGATGATGATTATTATTTTTATTATTATTTTTATTATTATTATTATTATTATTATTATTATTATTATTATTATTATATTATTATACTATTATTAATATAAAATTATCGTAAATGATTTATTTTACTTAAACACAGCAGCAGCAATAATGAGGGAGTGAGTGTGTTAAAGACCTCAATAATAATATATATTTTTTTGTACATTTTATTATTATGATTATTATGATGCGCCACTCCAGTGTAATATAAACAATTATTATAATTTATTATAACAAATGTGTTAAATAATTTTTGTGGTTAATTTTTTTAACTTGTGATAATAATTGAATATAATTTCCAATATAATTAAAACTGTGATTAAGGCCTTACTACTAACACGGTTATTATCATAATCTGGGCTCTTAAGTTCATGCTTTAAACAATTTCTAAATAAGCATGTACTTATTCACCAAAAACCTGTCAAAATATGCTTCGGAAATGTCAGAAATATATATTTATATCTACTCTAAAATATCTAAAACTCTGCACTAAAAAGATGCAGATTAAAATTAAAAGAAATTATAAGCAATTCTTGAAATAGTAAGATATATCCATTCATATTTCTTATCATTTTATGTCGTGACCATTCCCATGCAATGAATTTAGTGAAAAAATACAAATTGTTGCATTTTTCTTAAAATTCTGATTTTTTTGTATAGTATTTCAGTAAAAAAAATGAAGGTTAATACAATAATGTCAATAGGAAAATCAAAATTGTGTAAATAATATGCCCAATAAAATAGAAAAAGCACAAAAATTCTAATTATGCAAAATAAAACTTCTAATACTTCGCCATTGTACCTTGAAATAGACTTCTATGTTATATAGCATTTAATACAACTGTGCAAGATTGATATGCAAATGCATGAACTTACGAGCCCTAATCATAACCTTTAATCCGTATTAAGATAAAGAGAGGGTTACGTTATCTATTTAAAATATAATACACCATATATATTCAAAATATAAACAGTGACCTTTGTGTGGAAAATCAATGCTTTTTGAAAAACATTGATACAAATGCATAACGAATTGTTAAAAACTTGGTGAAAAGTATGTGTAGTAAAAAGAAAAATTTAATCATTAGAAATATTAGCCAACTATTTAGTTTTTACCAAGTGATCATTTCCTGTTGTCACTGGTAATAAGTTTAATAATGTCAGCAAACAGCATATTTTATGACTGTTATTGTAATTTGACGTAAAAAAAAGTTGCCTTAACCATAAATTATATAATTTGTTATTATTCCATTTATTAATTACACATTTATTTTAAAATATTTGATTTTTTTTAATAGTCAAAATATTTATTGTTAAATTGGTTCTGATTCTGGCCGTTTTAGCATTAATTAAATATTGTATTTGACTTGTTCATTTATTGTATTTAAATCTAATATTTAACATTTAATTGCAAATACTGATTGACTTTGTAGCTTAACTCAGGACTACAATATACCTACATAGTTTATATTTTTAAAAATGTGAAATGCTTATGAATTACTTAAAGATGCATAAATTGTTATGAATCACAATGTTTTAAAATGTAGCTTATACAAAAAGATAATATAAAAGATAATATACAATATATATTTTTAATTCTAACATTGTTGCCCTAATTTATACAGCCCTTAAACCAAAAATGCATTATTTAAGTTTAATTATTACAATAGTGTATTAATCAAATAAGGAAATCTACTCTTTCTTAAACACACTAAATGAAACAAATTGTTATTTTTTGTCATAGGTATTATCCTTAAAAACATTATACTATTGTCTTACGTCAGTTTCAAAAGTATAACTGCTATTGCTTTGTTTTAAACATTATAAATGTAATAATTCGACTTAAAAATATAAATTGTTGATGTATTTTTTTGAATTATCAGTATTAAATTTAGCTTAGGTACATTTTAACTTATAGATCAAACACCAGCTAATACTTATTGATAAATTTAAAAAAGAAATGGTATGGTAAACCATGTTATCCTATGGCAAAATATGGTGAACTTGTTATTTAATTTTGTTAATTCTCTAAAAATTGTTATTCAACTATCTTTATCATACATTTATATTTGATCTAAATATAACTGTGATTAAAGTTCCTTATACATATAATTTCTACGCAAAAAGCAAAATGTATATTTCATGACAGAAATGAATTATTTTAAATATGCATTAAAAAGAGGACACTGCCCGTCCATGTTTTGTAATGTTGACTGTAGAACATTTTATAGCATTAAAATCAACAAATTTTCATAGAAAAATAGAGCAGATTATTATCTATGCTTAAGTGTGGAAATATTTTGATTGATCAAATAATTTTTTCTAAGGTTAAAGTATTTTTTGTATTCTACAAGAAAATCTTGAAAATCAATGAATTAAGTTATTAAATTTTTAAAAAACATTTTACAACATAAGGTTTTAATCTATGACATTTGAACATTTTATGATTTTACAACAGTTTCAAGACACTTATGTTCTGGTTTTGCTTTGTGCAAAAGATCTTTTTTAAAAAAATATATACATACTTAAAAGTGCCACATTTAGAGCATTCTGTTTTCCAATTGAATGTTACCATTGTCTGTGTTACGTCCTCTTCAAATGGTAGGTTCTTTGCAGGAACATTGTTTTTTGTAGAATTTATACCTCAGTGACCTATGCCAGATAGCGCTACTGTCTATAATTTTTGAAATGTCCTGTCCAATGACCAATACTATAAATCAAAAATATTTATAATAATAAAAAATAACTGAATTATTCTGATTCCTTCGTTATTAATTTTATCGGGAAGAACTTAAAATATAAACTGTAAATTAACTTTTGATATAAATATTTTTAAATTGGGCATTCATTTAAAAGAATCACTTGTTATTACAATTTTCAACACTGTTTTAACGTCTTATAAAGATTAAATTATATTTTTATATTCATTTTTATAATTATTATTTATTCTGAACATTTTTTTCCATTTAAGTGTTATACAGTAGTGTAAAATGTCAAAACGATATTTTTACTATTTATTTTGATAAGTACCTGTTATTATTATTGACATTTTATATGACTGCTATATTTATACTACACTCCACTGTCTACACCAATTAGGACGTAACTAAATACATTCTTAAATTTACTGAGAATGTCGGTATATTGCCAAGAAATTGTTCACTATATTTTTAAATTGTAATAATTTATGATATATTTTAACTTAAAAAAATTACAATTCGATATTAAATTTAATGGCATTTTGTATTTTCAATTTCGTGATACTTAAGAGTAAAATTGTCGAATTAAATTCATGAATAAATACAACATACAATATTTCTCGGTACTGCCGAAATTAAAAATTCTTGTTGCTATAACCACATTCTAAATCAATTTTTTATTTTGACTAGCTGTCAGCTCACTGTTTTATTTTATGTTTTCTAAGTTATCTTAGAATAAAAACAACTATTCAAGAAATTTAATATTCTTAAATTGATTTTCAAACCTAAATATATATTTACCAAACGATCAAATTTAATGGTGATATTATAAGATTATTTCGATCTATTAATTATTAAATACATATTATTTTAGCTAACCTAACCTTGACCTAATTATTTAAAATATTTTTAAAACTACATATTAAAATAATGACAAAAAAATAAATCAATTTCTACCAATTGATCAACAAATATTATATATTAAATATTACAAATCAAAAATTCCAAAAAATAATTCTTATATAATTATTAATTATCACAATACATAACAAAAAACACACATTAGATTAGTAAGTTAATATTTTAACATATACAACTCTTTAACTACCTAGTATACACTGAGATTTTTCGTTCTTTTAACGATGCTCATTTTTTAATCACTTGTGTCATTTACCTACACATTATTATCTAAAATGCCTTCATCAGAACTAAGTACCTATAATCAAATCGTTTAATCCGGAACTACCTATCCAGTACCGAGCTCTTAAATGGTTTTTATTGATTTTAGCCTTCTGAAACATCGTTAATTCGGAGCTGTGATGGTAACCAATGATATTAATGCCAATGGCAAAGAGCATTTGCCATAGGAATTATAGTCATAGAATTTATTGGCTACATTTAGCTAGGTAGGTAATGCATTAACATTTTCAGTTTGGCTTTTGTAACCTATTAATATATTTATCTCACATAATGTGCTATTAAAGTCTGTTACAGTTTTGTTTTGAATTTGTGAAAACGCTTTATCTACATCTTCTATAGATGTATAGGTACTTCTCGCGGAAACAAGCAATTCGTCAAGGCGTCGTCGGTTCCAAACTTTAAAAAAAAAATTTATATAGGTACTTAAATTAAAGCTCATGTTTACCGATAATAATTTTAAAAGACACGAGTAAAAAATCATTACGTGTTAAGCTAAAAATAAGTTAGGTGAAGTTTCTTCCAATGGAAAATTTTTTTTTCAAATTTTCGAAGTTAAAATTCATATTTAATTACATATTTTTATTTCATACACTATCTTTATTGTGCGGACTGTAAAAATGTGTCACATACCTTAACCTCTATTACTACCGTCCCTGGTGTTGGGCGTCGTTCGAAAAAATATTTGTCTGGCTCCGCTGAGAAAAATTGTTCACCATGTCTTCGGTGTTAAACAAAACCACTTGTTCCAACCCCGCCCGTAACGCGATATTGGTTGCGTACAACAATAGAATAGTTCTTGCAAATAACGTAACTGTATCGATTGTCATACTCCATCGATTTTCAGTGGTGCACAAATATGCCCGGAAACCATATACCTAATACACAAAATCGGTCGGTTATAACTTATAAATAATAACAATAATTAATAATTATCACATCGTTCTGACGGCCGACGATGAGCGATTGTAAGCCGATTGGTTAGGTATCTTGGCGATTTTAGGTTGAAATTTTTAACATGTAAATTTCACATCTTCACCGACTAGGTTATAATTGATTTTTTAATATAACTGCCCCACACTGTTTTACCTGAACGTCCTAATTATCTAGACCTGCAGTGTTGTCCAACATTTTTTACATTTACATTTTTGTTTTTTCGAGAGCTCAGAATTTCAAATTTTCCCTATAAGACTTTAATAAAACCAAATTTATATTGTTGATGGATAATGTTAACTTAGTGTTCGTGTAAAACGATAAATACGATTACAA